CCCCAAAACCCCAAAACCCCAAAACCCCAAAACCCCTCTTGGATATTTTATTATTGAAATGGTTGGTTTTAACAACTTACATTAAGAGAATCTATGAAATTTTCCCATTCCTTGTAGAACTTAGCATACACCTTAGTCTTCAAATCTTCGTGAATTGAGCTTTGCTTGATCGAGTTTAGTGCCAGTTGCTTCAGATCTTTTAAGTCTAGCTGCCAAGCAATGATTCCGTAAGTGAAATCTAATGACAAGTTATCATAGCCGAAGAGTGTAGGATCATCTGAACTGATTGTTACAGAAACACCTTTATTCATCAAGGTTCTGATTGGGTGCCATCTCATATCAAGTATGTACCCAAGTACAAGATTGCTGATAGGACAAATTTCAATACCGATATCTTCTTCAATGACTTTATCAATGAGTCTTGGATGTAGCAAAGTGCCGAATCCATGACCGATTCTTTTGACACCAAGCAAGATGGCATCATAGAGTTCTTCGTTATATCTATCTGTAGTTTCTCCAGCATGGAAGAAGAGATTGAAGTCATTTTCAGTTCTATATGAAGTTATTCTTAAGCTTTACTGTTCATCATCATCATCTTGGTTCATCGCATCTAAGATAAGATCTTTGAAGGAGTAAATTGAAGGAAGAGCATCTTTTGTACCAATAAAATCAAACCCTATGACAAAAGGATAAGTCTTTCTAACCTGGTTATACACATCAAGCTGGTGCTTAGCCTTAGCTTTGCTATCCCTAGTGGAAGAAACAATAAGAGCGATCTCAAAGGCGGGATCTATCTTCTTCATCTCTCTTTGAACGTATTGGTAATTCTCTAATTTTTGTGTGATATTGCCTCTCAGACTTCTCCTAAATTCTACGATATACACTCCATCTTTTAGAGCTCTCTTGCAGATCTCTAAAAGTCCCGCTCTGATATTCTCAGGTTCTCGAAAGAGATGCTCAAGGGTGTAAAATTTAGCCCGGAAGCTTTTCCAGATTTCACTGTGTTCTTGGGATTTCAATTCGTCTTCAGTTATCAAAATCTTGCTTCTGAGGAAGCTATCAAAGGTGCCTCCAAATTTCCAGTTCTTCCTCAGGAAGTTGCATTTGTGGAATCCAGGTTTCGCTGCTGCCTTATTTGAAAAGGTTGAAAGTCTGTTTTCTTTGATGTTATAGTAAGCATCATCCTTATAAGTAACATTTATGATAAAATCAAGCGGATATGCAGCTATTTGATGCAGACGAAGATGTGCTCCCTTGGGCATTTTACGAATTGCTTGGTGCAAATTACTCTCAGATATCTGCTTCTTTCCTTCATAATAAGGAAGAAGCAGAGGAGAATGGTCGCCTTGCACAACCTGTTCTCTCAGATCTTGGATGATATCATTGGCTCTCTGTTCCTTCTCAGTCAGCTCAGGTACATCAAAAGTGAAGTAGTCCTCATTCGCTTCCTTAATCAGAGCTGCTCTCTTCTCATCATAGTTATCAGAAGTGAGGTTTCTCTTGTTGATAAAATACTCGTAGTTGAAGTTATCAAACACAGAAGAAAAAGATTCCCCGAGTTCATCAGTCCATGTTTTGGGTTTTGCTTGAGCAGCGACACCTTGTAAAGTAATGCTGAGAAGCACGATAACAAATAAAATTTCTTTTACCATTTTATTTTTAAAAATCAATTGGAATGGTTGATATGGGGTTTTGGGGTTTTGGGGTTTTGGGG